AAGGACAGGATCGTCCCTCGGCACCTACAGTTGGCTGTCCACAGTAATGAGGAGCTCAGCAGGCCGCTGGGAGGAGTGGCCATCGCTCTGGGAGGAGTTCTGCCCAGCATTCAGGCGGTCCTACAGCCCGGGGGAACCGAGAGGCCTGCAAAGTCTGGGTGGACGGATCGGACGGCATCTGCAGCCAGTTTCTTAGGATCCACTGTGGGATGGACCTTTAAGAGATCCTTCCTGCCTACAGCCATCAGTATCTATAACGTCTCTTAATGAAATGAGGATAACGAGTTACAACAACAAATAATTTCCCTTTGGGATTAATAAAGTATTTTTGAATTTGAATTGAATTGAAACCCAACTCTCGCATTGAAGGATGACTGATCTAATCACTTAGCCACAGCTGCCCCCTCTGTTACTCGCAAAACGTCAACCCAGAATGGTCATCTGGGAGTCATCTAGCACCACACTCTCATCAAACATGCAGTGCACGTTTGGTGAGGTGCAGCCGCAGTTCGACCAGACCTTGTCCTGGTCGTGGGCGGCTCTCCACACCAACTGGAGCTGGCTATCAGAAACCAACCAAAGATCTGAGGTGATTCGGTATCGGCACATCTAGGCAGGATTCTAACTTAGAGGCATTCTGTCATAATCCCTCAGATGGTAGCTTTGACCCAATGGCTTCTCAGCCAAGCACATGCACCAAGTTTCTGAACCTGCGGTTCTTCTCGTATTGAGCATGATTATTGTAGGGGTTGCATGATTACATACATGTATTTTTTAAAGTCGACCTCAACATGATAAAAGTCGAGTCAATGTCGACTAGTTGCTGTGACGTTATAGGAATTCAAGACGCTATATCATCCATCCATCCATCCATCCATTATCTTTACCAGTTTATTCCATTTTGGGTCACGGGGGTCGCTGGTGCCCATGTCCAGCAATCACTGTGCGAGGGGCGGGGTACACCCTAGACGGGTCGCAAGTCCATCACAGGGCCACATAGAGACAAACGAGACAAACAAACATTTACTCTCTCACTCACACCTAGGGACAATTTAGAGTTACCAATCAGCCTAACATGCATGTTTTTGGTCTGTGGGAGGAAACTGGAGTACCCGGAGAAAACCCACGCATGCACGGAGAGAACATGCAAACTCCACCCAGAAAGGCCCCTGGACCGGGGATTGAACCAGGGACCTGCTCGCTGAGAGGCAGCAGCTCTACCAGTTGCGCCACCGTGCTGCCCACGCTATATCATAGTCACAAAAAAAATAATTTATTATTTACCAAGAAAAGAACAACAAAACATCAAGAGCATATATTCATGCTCCTACCATTTATCATACTGCAAATAAGTCACAGGAAAAACAAAACAATTATTAAGCTGCAAAAGTAAAATAAATGTGTGGCACGTAAAAAACTAAACTAAAAATAGCAGGGCGATCGGTGGTGGAATCCACCTTATTATAATATTATAGTTATTGTAGTTAATAACAGTCGTCGGCCACACACGTCCACTGACGCGGCGGCTAGTAAGCTTCAGGTGAGTCACCGGCAGTCCTCTATCTGGACTTTTTTATACCCCTTTCAACCGTTCTGGCTCGGCCACACACGTTCACTAACGCGGCGGCTGGTAAGCTTCAGGTGGGTCAATGGCAGTGATCCATCTGGACTTTTTTGTGCATCTTTTAACCAGCTGGTCAGCGAGCGGTCAAACAGCTGCGAGCGGCTGGTAGTGATCCAAATTGGATCGTCAGCTGCGTGCGTCCGCTGATGCAATCAAAAGCCTGACACTGACCCACCCATCTAGCACATTAATTTGGCTCGGGCTGGGCCGGGCCGGGCCAGGCACAGGCCCGGGTTAGAAATGACAGCTCGAACCACCTTGTTGTTTATAATTTTATTTTATTTAATCCACGTGGATTAAATAAAATAAAACTAAAATCAGCGGGGCAGGCGGTGGTGACTGCGACTAGTCAACGTGAAATTTTAAAACTCAAAAGATGTCCTAGAATTGACTAGTTGACTAGTCAAACCAACCCCTATGTGACAAAAAAACATCAGTAAGGTAAAATTAATTTATCTCCCAAATGGTCTGAACAGCCTATTTGTTCTTTAGCCCAGTTCAAAATATTCACTCTTGTTTTACTGTAATTAGTTTCTTCCGTATGTATTTATGGGCTGTCACTATGGGTATTTCAACATAGATTCAGGTAATTTTAGCATTTATATATCTTTGTGACTATGTTTTTTTTGGGGGGTTTTTTGTAACCTTATTATATCTTGAAATATTTAACTTTATTTAAATGTTTTTCATTAAAATAAATGAAGAATTCTTGGGGTTCCTAAAAATGTTTGTGAACTAAACTTTACTTCAGCATGCATGCTTTATTCTTAGCTTTTTGCTACTGTTTTGCTAATTTAAGTTTTTCATTAATGTTTCCTTGATTTTAGATTTTAGCTACTATTTTGCCTATTTTAGCATTTGTTTAGCTAATTTTAGCTTTTGTTCTGATTGTTTGTGTTTTGACTATTTATTTTCAGCTTCAACAAATTTCAGCAAGAGCACTCAGCATTCAGACTGCATTTTTGTATAAAATGCTGTATAATTTCTCTAGTTATAGCAAATTAGATCACAGGACATTTTTTTTTGCATTAGCCTAAAGATCTTTTGTGCTTTTACTGCACTGACATCTGAAGTTCTAGGAGTTTTTGTAAATCAACACAAGTGTTCTGCTTCGTGTTGTACAATTTAATATTGTTCTTTATATAAGTAATGTTTTACAATATTATTTTGATAAATGCCCTGTACTTATATAGCACCTTTCTATCTTATCAAGATACTCGAACCACTTTATACTACAATCTGTGTCCTCATTTACTCATTCATACAGCACTCTACTAGATCTCTACAAAGCTAATTGAACAAATCATTCTAAAATGACTACCGTAAATTTCACTATAAGTCACAGTTTTTTTTTGTGTGAATAAATTAGTATGCCTGCAACTTATACAGTGAAGCAACATATTTACCCCCCGCCCCCCTCCATGTTTATAAGCAAATTTTGGCTGAGATCTGATGATTTCTTTCATTCTGACGAAAAATATTAAACACTACTATTTTCAGCCACTAGAGGGCCCTCAACTAATATGGCAAGCCAAGTGTCTCATTAATAGGTGAAAGTGGCTATTAATGAGACACTTGGCTTGCCATACAAAGCCACCTTTGTCTTGCTCCGAAACTCCTGGTGCAAACGATTAAAGTGCATTTATTAAGGAAAAATTCTACTGAGACACACCTTTGCTATAATTTTGAACAAACAAATAATTGTTTTTAAGTGTTAGTCTTGTTAACTTCTTGTTAAAGTCTTCCCGTGTACGCTCCCGTGGCCGTCATTTAGCAGCCAATCGATTTTTGTCACTACACCGTCACACATTTCCGGGTTGTCAGCGGTGACACGTAACAAATGTGACACGTCAGTGGTGACAAAAAATTTTTTTTTTTTTTTTTTTCATTTAGCCTTTATTTATACAGGTAGTCTCATTGAGCCACGAGAACTCATTTTCAAGAGAGACCTGTTTAGGGAGCACATGGTTGGGGTTAAGGGCCTTGCTCGTGGGCCCAGAGTGGGGCGAATGAGGGTGGGGGCAAGTGTGGGTGTTTCACCTACCCCACCCACAATTTTGATGTTGTCGGGGCCGGGGCGTGAACCGGCGATCTTTAGCGTTTGTTTTGGGCCATTATCTCGTTACAGGAGTCATGATCTTTACTTGAGACCAGACTTTCTGACAAATAGGAGCAGGTTTCGCTTCAGATGCTTCGTATTTCATTGTACCCAGACCACACTCAAGCCAGCCTGTGTCAGGTGCAGCTACAACCCAAGAACAAAAGAGAATCTTTTTGTGTTTGACAGCAGATGTAACACTGTTTCTTAGAAACCCTCAGTTTTAAAAAAGACCTGACGTAACTTACATAAAGAGCCAGCAAATACAGTTAGCCATTCAGTGTTTGTCCTCTACAAACGCCTATTCTCCAGAAACGCCCACTTTTGGTCTGCAGAGAACCCCTTCTCTCACAGAACACCACAGGAAGTCCTTCCTTCCTGTGGCTATCAAATTTGTCAACTCCTCCCCTTTACTCCACATACAATAATCCTTCACCACAATAAACACTTTAATGTTTCTGTACATATATATATATTTATATACATGTATATCTATATATATATATATATATATATATATATATATACTCGTAGAGAGATCGGATGTATTTACCATACAATTTTGCATGCAGACTTCTAATGGTCACCTAAACTTTGTTTTGTTATCTTGTATCAAAAATGAACAAAATCTAACTTAAACAACCTACATTTTTGTCATGGTTATTTTTAAGCAATACTTTGTAAATGTTGAACCAATAACTTATGAATATTTAATTTAATATTCAATTTACTCCTTTACAATCATTCCCACGTCAGTCTAATGTTTTCCAGATGTACAACCATGTTAATCAAGCTAAAAAAAAGGAAGAAAAAAAAGTTACACTTGAGCCAAAAATTTAACAATTAAACTTAAATTCTGTTTCTGAATTTATTATAGCTTCAAATACAGAATAAAAGCAGAGTATAGACACTGATAATATGAGTGTTGCTCCACTTGGATGCACTTTGATTGAGTTTTGCTTGTGATGACCGTAAAGATACAACCTCTTCCTTGTGTACTAAAAGGTCAACAGATGTCTTGTACACTGCAGCTGTCCTGTAATGTTTTGACACCGAAGAAATCCAGCTCATGTTATTTGCACTGCTACTTCTAACTCAAAATCACTTGAATGAAAAATGTAAACTCTGATCTAAAACAGTTCTGTCAAATTTCCACATAATGACCCTTTAATGTCATTGTAGCAGCTGCTGGGTTAAACTGTGTTGAGATAAAGCCAATTACCTTAGAGTGGATAAAACCTTGGTGGACATGTTATTCAAAGCATCTATCAGACTTACCTTCATAAATATGGACACTATGACCAGTCCGTTGGGGCTCTTAGCAGCTTCGGTGTAATTTGTATACAGCTCATGATTATAGTGAATCAGTTGAACCTGGAACATACAGAAGACATGGACAGAGTTACCTCAAACAAAAACCTTTGAATACAACTTCAAGACTCTGAATGTTTTTAAACAGAACAGCAAGTAGGAAACTTACATCTGTGTCAAAAGTCAATCAATCAGCCAATCAACCAATCAATCAATTAATCAATTATTCAATAAATCAATAAATCACTTAATCAATCCTCAAAACTAAAATCTAAGAACCACCCAAATAATTTTTCAATAAAAAAAAACCAAATACAACTAACATATCAATCAACAAAAGATTATTTAAGTAAACATATTATATACATATACTGTACATATATACTGTATAT